ACCATAGAGGCGGAGGTGAACAAGGTGCTGCTGGAGGCAGGGCCGCGCGGCCACATCCTCAACGTCGGCCACGGCGTCGTGCAGGTGTGTGGGCAGGGGTGTGTGTGTGTAGGTGTGGAGAAGACGGAGTGTGAGAGTGGGTGTGTTTTGGGGGGTGAGTGGTTGGGTGGGTGGGGCGGTGCGGGTGGTTGAGGGGCCACAGGGTTGTGCAGGTGCAGACGAGGGGGAGCGCAGGAAAGGGTGGGGGGTTGTCGGATGAGGAGAAGGCCGGGGGTCGGCGGCTGCGAGTGAGCGGGGGGCCGGGCGATGTGTCATCGTATGCTCAGTCTTTTGAAGGCTGAGGGGGGGGTGCGCACCTTGCCAGTTGCAAGCGTGTCAGGGGCTGAGGTGCCAGACTTCAGACACACGGTTGAGCTGCACGTTGAGCATACGTGCCGACTGCCCAACCACCACTCGCGCAGGGCACGCCCGAGGAGTCCGTCGGGTGGTTCTGCGAGCTGGCGCGGCGCTCGGGCGACCTGTTCCGCGCGCAGCAGGAGCAGCCAGTGCGCGAGAAGGTGGCGGCTTGATTTGGCCTGATCGATGGGACCCTCCGCTGCAAGGCGTTTTTGCACCGTTGTTTGCCGTCTGTTTTGGCTGTTGTTTTCGAGGGAGTGTCAGCGACTGCAATCCCTGAGAGGGGTCATGTGTAGATGAGTAAACGGCCATCGTGAGGCTTCCTGATTGACCTTGGCGGGTGTGGGGCGCAGCTTTTCCTGCATGCTGTCAGCCGTGCCGGGCAGGGGGCCGCGCCGGCGGGGCAAGGGGAGCTAGGGGTGATCAGTGGTGTGGCATGGCCAGTGGGCAGAGCAAGCTTTTCACCCCCTTGTGAACGTATGTCACGGTACGAAAAACACCGCATTGCTGCATGAATCTTATGATAGAACACGTGCATCAGGTTGCCTTCTTACCAGTGGCCACTGCACCTCACAGGATCAACAACGCACACCCAGGCCAGGGCAGGGCAGGTCGTCCCCGGCCGGGGGATTGGCTGATGCAGCAGCTGGCGCCGCAGCAGGCACACGTCGCCAGTGCTTTGCCCACTCCTCATGCTCGATCCAGCGTTAAATCGTCACTTATTATAATTTCACTGCGCGCAACCTCTTCCAAGCTCACAACGAACCACACCGTATCCGCAGATCACATCCATTTGCTCTGTTGCGCCTGAGCAAGGCGGAATCGTGTGATGCAGCCCGTATAATAAATGTTCTAAGCTCGTCTTGGGCCCATACGGGCCGAGCAGTCGGGGTGTGTCCTGTGAGCCACCGGAGGCGGGTTTGAGGACCCCGGCGCCACTGGCAGTGCCCACCGTGTGAACAGATACCCTGTGACCTTGTGTGGCATCGGCGACAGCAGCAGCCATGTCAGGAGTGGTGCACTTCAAGTTCAAGTCGTCTCTTGTGAAGGACTCCGTCACATTCGATGGCCACTACATCTCCGTTGGCGAGCTCAAGCGCTTGATAGCTGCAAAGAAGGGCCTCGGCGCCGAGGGCGGCGCCGAGCTCGAGGTGTCAGATTGGAACACGCGCGCCGCCTACACCAACGACGCCGAGCAGATACCCCGCAACACCTCCGTCATCGTCCGCCGCGTGCCCGCTGCCACCAAGGGCCGCCCCGGCCCCGGCAACCGCGCCGGCGCCGCCGCGGCCGGCGCTGCCGGCGCCTCCCCTGCCGCCGGCCCGCTCGCCGCGCTCGCCGCGCTGCAGGCGCGCGACGACTTTGGCGGCGACGTGTACGATGCTGCTGCGGCGGAGGCGGGCCGCCAGGAGGAGGACGCGCTCATCGCGCAGCACCTGGACGCGCAGGCGCAGCAGTGGCGCGGCGAGACCGAGGCCGCCGTGCTGCAGGACCGCGAGCGCGCCGCGCAGCGCGCCGCGCGCGGCCGCGGCCTCGGCGGCCGCTTCGCCGGCCGCGGCGGCGGCCACAACCGGCCGCACGAGGGCTACTTCTGCCGCCACTGCGGCGCGCACGCGCAGCACTTCCACGAGGACTGCCCCTCAAAGGACAACCCCTCGAAGGGCGAGCTCCGCACCGTGCGCGCCCCTGTCGGCATCCCCATGACCCTCTTGGACCGCTCGCGCAACCAGGGGAACCTCCTGATGCCCGACGGCAGGACGGGCGCGCTGAAGCACAGCGAGGACCTGTTTTTGAAGGAGATGGGCGCCGCGCCGACCGCCGCGCGCAAGGCGCAGCTCGCGCTCTCCGACCGGCCTGCCGGCGGCGCGGCGGCAGCGGCGGTGCCGGTGCTCGCGCTGCC